CAAACGCTCCTGCCCAATACCAACGCATCATGGATCACATTTGAAAAATCTTCCCTCCGAAAACGTCTCCTGTTACTTGGATGACATCTCATCACTCTCAAATGGGATGATAATCATCTCCAAATTGTTGAAGACGTTTTGAAAACGCTCAAGCAAAGTCATTTGCACTTGAACAAAGCAAAATGCGATTTCGTGACAAATTCCGTGGAATGGCTTGGTCACACCCTTTCAGAAGAAGGGCACCGCCCCATTGAGAAACAACTCGACCCAGTTCTTCACTGGCCACTGCCCAAGACTGCTCACGATTTGCGACAGTTTCTTGGCGCTGCAAACTACTACAAGAAATACATTCGCAATTACTCCGACTATGTGCAACCATTGTTCAGACACACAAGTGGCACAAAGAAAAACTCGAAGAAGCGACTGTCAAACTGGACGCAGGATGACTCGCGAATCTTCAACAATCTCAAGGCCACCATGGCCAAGTTGCCCACGTTGTGTCCCACGCTCGACCTTGATCCTACAGAGCCACTGGATCTGTTTACAGACTCCTCCGACAAAGCAGTCGGCGCTGTTCTCCAGCACAAGGGTCGCCCCATTGAGTTCTACTCCAGCACCCTTTCAGTGCATGAGCGAAACTGGCCAATCAGGCAGAAGGAGCTGTATGCCGTCATCAAAGCTCTGCAACATTGGCGTTACCTTTGTATCGGTCGCCCCATCACTGTTTACACCGACCACAAGTCGCTCGAGCGAGTGTTGGCACAGAACAAGATACAGGAAGCCCGCATTCAGCGATGGTCGCTCTTCCTCTCAGACTTCAACGTTACTTTCAAGTACATTCCAGGCGACAAAAACGTCGTTGCGGATGCACTCTCTCGCACCTGCATGGTCAGGGAGCTGCTTGAAGACGAAACAGTCAACATCCGCTGGTCTGACTACCTCAAAGACCCTTTCTGGGAGAAGATCATTCACGACCTCGCGTCCTTTCCACAGTACAAACGTGTTGGCGACCTACTCTATCACAAGAACCGCATCTGCGTGCCATCTTCCAGTCATAGAAGCGTAATGGCCATGGCGCATGATGGGCTGAGCAGTGGACATCAAGGTGTTTCCAAGTCTCAGGCCCGCGCTGCGCGCGAATTCTATTGGCCGGGGATGCACAGTGCGATTCGAGAGTACGTTGACACTTGTCACACATGCGCAACGGCAAAGAGTGGTCGTAGACTCAAGGTCCCCACCCAAGCCTTGCCGGTGGCACCATACCCGTGGCACACAGTCACAATGGACTTGATGGTTGGACTACCAACTACATCTCAAGGACACGACGCTATCTACGTGTTCGTAGACAAGTATTCCAAAATGGTCCATTTGGCCCCTACGTCCAGCACTGTCGATGCCCAGGGTTGTATTTCACTATTCATTCAACATGTGTACAAGTTACACGGACTCCCCGAAGTCCTCATCTCCGACAGGGATCCGCGGTTCACCGCAGCTCTGTTCAGGAAAGTCATGCACAAGTTCAGCGTGCAAATGAAAATGTCAACAGCGGCCCACGCTCAGACCGACGGACAGACCGAAAGAGTCAACAGAGTCGTTGGGAATATGCTCCGCTCATACGCAAAGTCGAATCAAAGTGCATGGGTTGATTACCTACCTACGATTGAGTTTGCTATCAACTCATCACCCGCCGCCTCCACAAAGATGGCACCCTTCGAGGTTTGCAACGGCCGGATTCCAAGACAGATTGGACTGCCTGCTCGCTTGTCAGGGCAAAGCCCTGTGCTCCCAGACGAGCTCATGGATCGGTTGGCAAAGATACAGCATGAAGCATCCTCCAACTTGCAACAGCACTTTGACAAGGCTTCGTCATCAGAACACATTGAACCCCCCTTCAGGGAGGGAGACGAAGTGTATGTTAGCACACACTTATTACGAAATGAAGATGCGAAGTACCGCTCAAACAAACTCACACCACCATACGATGGTCCGTTCAAGATTAAGAACGTTCTCGGTCCAGCGCATTATCGCGTGGACTTCTCACCATTGAAAGTGCGCATACACGATGTCATCAACATCAAGTTCCTGAAGAGAACGAAAGGCACCCGATCTGTGCATCGACCAGGTCCTTTGCAAGGGTTCAGCGATGATGTGTACGCAATGGAACGAATCCTGCGCCACAGAAAGCATCGCGGTAGACTCGAGTACCTAGTAAAGTGGCTCGGCTATCCGGAATATGAAGCGACATACGTTCAGGCCAAAGACATGATTGGCTCACGATGCAAACGCTTATTGGCTGAATATCAACTTCAGACTGCCAAAGCAGATGCTGCCAAAGAGCGCTCTCTCAAACGCAGGTCTCAGAAGAGCAACGCTCGACACATAAGGTCAAAGACCTCAAAGCGTTAAGCCCTGATGGCGGGGAGAGTGTAGTGAGACAGCACTACAATACAAATCCTGAACTTAAGTGTCGTGAAGGAGTGTCAAGGCATAGTCCTCCCGGAATTCAGGACCAACACAGATTCCGAACCACACAACAGAACGGAACTACCACTCCTCACCAAGGACACCAACACCCAAGATCCGACCCCCTTGCTCGTCTCTCTTGACCTTGTGCCTGTCTCTACTTTCCTTGCTTGATTGTTGTCACTTATCTTATCACTCCACTTATCTCATCGCCCCATCCTATTACCCTGCCTTCTTTACTTGCGACTACGTCTCCCGCACAGTATACAGCAAGACCCTACTCTAAGTCCCAGTCAAACACTCTTACACACACACAGACCAGTCACATCACAACAGTCGGCCTTGTGCTTTGGCAGCATTACCACCGTCAACGGCTCGGTCGTTGCCCGCGGCAGCTTCAAGCACGGCGCCATTTCAACCGCCAACTTTGGAAACGTCTCCATGGTGGGCGGCGACGTGGTGCTGAGCCGCAACCTCAACCTGACAACGCTCGACTTTGGCAGCGTTGCGTCTGTTGGTGGCAATATCGACCTCAGCTACAACTGGCCTCAACGTTGAAGGGCGGTTCAGCGAGAGTCGCAAGAGTTGCACAGGTACAACCTGCCAATCTCAATAACCAACATCGACCTCACGCCACTGACGTCCATTGGTGGATCCCTGAACCTCACTGACAACTCGATCGGCAGCGTTGACTTTGGATCGCTCACCAGCGTCACGGGTTCCGTTGATCTCGCCTGGACCATCGCGGACACCCTCCACCTGCACAACCTGACCAGCGTTGGCGGCGACCTGAACCTGGGCGGGTGTATGTTTGACACCGTCAACATGGCCAAGCTCACGACCGTGGGCGGCAGCCTGAACATTGGGTTGAACTCGCTCGACACCTTTGACTCCAAGAACCTCGCTCACATCGGCGGCTTCCTGGACCTCAGCTTCAACGAGCTCGGCAATGTAACCTTTCCCAAGCTCACACACGTGGGCGGCTACTTGGACCTCAGCAGCAACAACTTTGATTCCATCGACTTTGGCTCTGCCCTCGTCCGCATTGACGGCTACTTGGACTGCAGCACAAACAGCCTCCTCAACACCATCAACTTTGGAGCCCTCACCACCGTTTCTGGATACCTTGATGTCACGGACACGGACCTCACCCAGCTTGACTGCAGGGGCCTCGGCAAGTGCATCAAGGCCGATTCCAGCGTGTGTGTGCGAGTGTGTGTGTGCGAGTGTGTGCGAGTGTGTGTGTGTGTGTGTGTGTGTGTGTGTGTGTGTGTGTGTGTGTGTGTGTGTGTGTGTGTGTCTACGTGCTCGTATTGCGCATGTCCTGCAAGTTTCATTGATTCTTGCGCTGTTGTTCCGTTCCATCTTTTCGTGCGGTGTTCACAAGGTGGCGGCAATACACAACCGCAGCAACAGCTCGCATGAGCGTTGGTTGATGGAGTGACTATGTCGATCCAGTTGGGGGTGAGGCGCAGCTTGCTCTTGTTTGTGCTCATCATGGAGGCCACCCACAAGAAGACAAGATAGAAGACTCTCTCCTTCTTCGCGACACTGTGAGTGCTCAGCACCTAACGCAAGGGATCTTCACGATGAGGGGCAAGCTCTGAAGTAGTAGTTGCACAAGATGTCGTGGATTTCCATCACACTATGAGGAGCAAGTGCACAACATGATCGCAAACGCTGCAGGTTCACTGTGTTGGTTTGAGCCACGGCAACATGGAAGGAGTACACGCGGCAAGGGTGACGAGCACGAACAAGGAACGTACCAGGTGAAAAGGAGAAGGGAAAGGATGACATGGGACAGAAGCAAGAATGGGGTGAAGTAACAGCAGCAGTGGGTGCGCACAAAGTGGCTGCAGGGAGGCTAGTAGGGAGGAGGGAAGGGAGACAGAACATAGTGGTGGAAGAAGAAACAGAAGGGCGCTGCAACACAGCCCACGAAGAAGATCCAAGGCGAGCAGGTAAGCAGACACACAAGTAGAGAAGAAGACAAGCGTACAAACACACGCATAACGTGTCTTCACATCAGCACACTGGGTCGATGACGAGCACAGACCCGGCGTTGGCATTAGGAATGCAGTGGACAAGGCCATCCACAGCAAGCAAGCACGCCTCCTGATGTTGGTGGTTGATGCTGCCGTTTGACGCAAGCACGTCGCCAGCCCACTGTACTGTAATCGCTGCGTGTGGAGCTGTGTCGATGGCAAGCATCAGGAGGCGTCGTCGAGTGATCTGCTGGCTGGGACATTGTAGCTGAGGTCGTTGCCTGCCTGTGAGGTCGCCTCCCTCACCACGAGTGCCAGAGAATGTGTTCCGTGGAATGCAGCAGTAGTGGATGATGCCGTTTCCAGCTGGCGTGCCTCATCAGACAGCTGTGTTGGTGGTCCTTGGATCAATCGAGGATAGTGGATACAGTGTCGCAGTCGCTGATGAAGGCATTGTCCTTGTTTGAAACAAGGGATGATGATTCAGCATGAAGATAAGGCCGCTGCTCGCTGGAACTGTGGTCGCTGCGTCGAACAGGGGTGCATGGAAGGGATCGATGATGGGCACAGATGCACGTCTCTGCGCACAGATCAAGTGGTTGTTGCTGTTGGTGTTGTTGTTGTTGTTGTTGTTGTTGGGGTTGGGCACGACACCACCCATGCCACGTTGCCGTATCTCCTGTGGTTGGCTGATTTCATGCACGTAGCTTGCCGCTTCAACGTGTCACACGATGGTGCGCTGTGTCTAAGAGGCGTCCTCGCCATTGGCTGATGGGTGCTCCTGCAGCACTGTGCTCCATTCTCTGCTGCACTGGTGCAAGCACACCGTTCACGTCCACCATGCCCGTTGGCTGACTTGCGTCCATCAGTGGGATGGATGACTGGTGTTGATGCGTTGATGTGGAAGGGAAGGTGCCGACCTTCTTGTGTCAATCACAACTTTGATCCTCCCCAACAACCGCCACGCTTTCTCTTGCACAACACATGGTCCCGCCACCACCGTGGTGCACCTGTATGTGTCTGTGGCAAGAGCCATCAGTGTCGCAAACGAGAAAGAAGGCGAAGAAGAGCTCAGATGGCGTCCACATTCGTCCAAACAGAGCGAGCAAGCACTGGCTGACTTGTTGCGGCAGTGGAGTGTGTGGTGCGACAACACAACAACAATAACTGTTGTGTGTATTGTGTATTGTTTTCGTTTTCTTTGTGCTGCAGGAAGGGGAAAGTACTTCCAAATCAGGTGGCAGGTGTTGCCAGAAACGCAAGGATTTTCCTTTTCTGTCAACATGGCAAGCAAAAGAAGGAAGCAAACAGCGCGGTGCGTTTTGTTGGTGTGAGCGCCACTTTTCGCCAACAAGAAGCAAAGGACAGAAAGCAAAAGGAGCAAGCAAGCAAGCACACTTCGTGGTTGGATGGTTTGTGGATGCGATCACAAAGAAGACCTTCCTCGCGAACACGCCAGCCAGCAAGCCAGCAAGCACCTCGTCGTTGTGGTGCAACAATAGAAGAGGGACAGCTGCTGCGCGTGTATTATTGATCTGTTGCACAAGCAGTGGCAGCCACTCCACGATGCAGTGGGCAATGGAACCGTGCTCTTTGTATCGCACACATGGCGGTACACGAAGATGACACAAGTGCTGAACGTGTTCAGCGTGCTGCTGTTGCTTTGAGAGTTTGCACATGAAGAAGGAGCAGGCAGGGAAAGGTAACGGCAAGTGTATGTGTGTGTGTGTGTGTGTGTGTGTGTGTAGAAAGACGGTGTGTGTATGCAATACCCTCTACTCACTCTACTAAATGCTCCCACCAACCACTGCCTTCGAATCCGATCTCACCACCTTTCCCCACCACCCTGCTGCTACCATATCAGGAAGCATCTGCCGCAAGAACTACCCCCCTCCCCGACTCTCATGCAAGCACCTGCTCGACGCTCGACCTCCATGCGCACACAATGTAAGCCGGCTGCAGTCACGTCCCTGTTCATCACTTTTATTCCTCCTCAACCACACGCATGCGCACGCTCATGCCGCGCACACTCATGCACACGCACACAAACGCACACATGTGACATTGCCACCACCACCACCTGCAGTCATACAGCGTGGGCGCTCGCAGGAGAGCAGACTGGGGATGAGCGTGGCTGAAGTGGTTGAGGAGGGCAAAGAGCTCGTGCACGAAGCAGAGGATATGGCAGAGAGGGTGTGCATCCACAGCAATCACAACAACGCCACCACAATGAATGCGGCGGCACTGCTGCAACCAGTATATGGGAGCGGCATCACGCCCATTCCAACCAGCATTGCCTGCGCCTGTACATGGGCCAGCAGCGCCACCGTCCCTGACGCATGCCATGATGCCGACATTGTCAACGACACCAACCATCACAAGCACATTGCGGCCGCTGCTGCGGGGTTGCAGTGCAGACGCCAGAACATGTCGACCTCATCTGCAGCACCGGCAACGACAGCAACAACAGCCGTGATGGCAGCAGAAGCAGCGGCAGCAGTAGGGCTTGTCCACCTTCCTTTCCGAACACGGTGCCGCCGTTTCCTCATGTCTGCGACGGCTGCAGCGACAGCGCCACGGCCGTTCAGGGGCACCCCTTCTGTCGCGGACCTACTTGATGGCATCACCATCGTCCTGATCATCGTCCTCTTCGCCACCGTCATCAACACCAACGACTGAAGCAGCAGCGACTGAAGCATCACCATTGCGAACCACTGCTGCACCTCCAGTACTGCTCTCGACATATGCAGCGCTTGCAGAGAGACAGCTGGGGACGGATGAGATTCACATGCTCAGCTGTCGGTAAGCTATGCACACCAGTGTTGTGGTGTTTGGGGTGTCTTCAGCGCATACTCGATGGCACAACGTCCTGTGTGCTCACTCACCTGCGTGTGTGTGTGTGTGTGTGTGTGTGTGTGTGTGTGTGTGTGTGTGTGTGTGTGTGTGTGTGTGTGTGTGTGTGTGTGCACGTCTCAGGCTGTGACATCGAGGATTGGACGGGCGTTTGAATCCAAGCACGCTTCAGTGCAGCAACGACGAAATTCGCAACCACCGCCGGTTCAAGGTAGCAGACAGAAGGCTTTTCACTGCCCAGGTGTGCATATCTGCGTGTATGCACATGTGTATGCATGGGTGTGCATGCATGTGGGTAGTTGTGTACATGAGTGCGTGCCTGTCTGTGTGTGTGTGTCTGTGTCTGTGTCTGCATGTCTGTCTGTGTCTGTGTCTGTGTCTTTGTCTGCGTGCCTGTGTCTGTGTGTCTGTGTGTCTGTGTGTCTGTGTGTCTGTGTGTCTGTGTGTCTGTGTGTCTGTGTGTCTGTGATGTAGTCCGTCTTCTTCACTTCCCCCATTCCCTCACGTTCTCACGTCCTCACGTCCTCTCCCGCGGCACGCGCCTGCACTTGCAAACAGATACAGCGCATTCCTTTCCTGCGTCATACGACGGCACGGTGTACGTGGCAGACTCATCAACGCAGTCTTCCACCGAGGACAGACAGCGGTGTCTGGGGCACCAGCTGCGGAAGCTGTACAACATCGAGGCAGACCACGTCGTGCACCTCAGGGATGTGCCACAGCAGCAAGACAGCGTGTCGTGTGGCCTGTTTGCGCTGGCATACGCCACACTGCTGGCTGCTGGCCTGCATCCTCTCGACTTGAACAGCGTCAGCATGACGGCACACCATCTGCGCACGTGGTACTTGCAGTGCGTGGCTGATCGGGAGGCAGATGTTGTGGAGGCGCTGCTCATGAAGCTGCTACAAGAGGCACAAGTCCATGACGACAAAAACAACGACGACGACAACGGCCTTGAGTCGCCACTCCACCAGCGACGCTGTCTGCCTGTTCTGCAGAGGCAGCGGGCCCTTCACTTGCAGCCGACAAGAGAAGAGGACCGAATGGCCTTCTCTGCCACAAGCGGCGAGGTGGTTGAGGTACATGACAGAAGCGATGGTGTGGAGGGGGAAGAGGAGGTGGTGGTGATTGAAGGTGCTGCGTTCGAAGAGGGTTACGATGGCGGTGATGTGATTCACGTGGACGGAGACAGTTGTGATGACACGGGCGAGCCGCAGCAGCCACACTGGCCACAACAACATCAACAACAACAACAACAACTTCGGCAACAACAGCAGCAGCAGCAGCAACAACAACAACAACAACAACTACTACTACTACTACTACTACTACTACTACTACTACTACTACTACTACTACTACTACTACTACTACTACTACTACTACTACTACTACTACTACTACTACTACTACTACTACTACTACTACTACTACTACTACTACTACTACTACTACTACTACTACTACATCGGCCACACTTACAACAGCAGTTGCAGTAGCTGCCACAAGTGCACCATACCGTCGCTCAGCCTGGGCTGCTGAACGATCAGTTCCCGCATTATACCCAGCAACAACAGGAACAGCAACAGCACAACCACCAGCAGATCCAGCAACAGCAGCACTCGGCATCGTGGCAGCTTGCGCTGCCCCATGCACGAGGTGCCAAGAACAGACGCAGTCGGAGACAACGTCGCCAACAGCACAGACGCAACACGCAGAGCACATCAACGTCGTCCGCCTCCATGCCCTGGAATGCGCAGTGTGGTCCCACCACTCCGGTCCCTGAAGCGGAGAGCTGGCGCATCCCGTCACGCGGTTCTCGTAGCACGTGGAAGATACACTCATGTGTGTGTGTGTGTGTGTGTGTGTGTGTGCGTGTGTGTGTGTGTGTCTGTGTCTGTGTATCTGTGTGTGTCACACGTGCTACCGCTACTGCAGCTGCTGGACTGTCGTTCTGTGCCTTGTACCGTTGAAGATGAAGGCATGCCAAGTTGACGAGCAACCTTTGCTTGCGTGTACCCTGCAAATACAACGCCAACAAGGGCGCGATGTGCGCTCTTGTTGGCGTATGCCTTTTCTTTCTTCTTCTTTTTTTTTTCTGTGTTTTGTTTGCGCCATTGCACGACGAGTAAACAGCGAGATGCAACGGGGAGAAGGTGTTGACATCGTGCACAGAAGCTTGTCTGAGCGATCTGCAAAACCTTGGATGCTCTGATCAAGCGAAATAAAGTTCAACCAGAAATGCCATGTGTATTCCACTGAGTTTAACAAGGCATTATGACAAGAACATGAACACACAAAATCACGTTTTGGGCTTTCCTGTTGGTTCTAGCACACCAAACAACGTCATCTTCTTTGTGCTCATGAACGTGACAAGCACCGCTGCTATGGTCAACGCCATGGAGAAAGCCCAGGATGAGGCGTGCGCTGCGCACCACGCTTCATATGGGGTGGCAGACACACCTTCAAAGATGAGCCTGTTACACAGCAATGCTTCGCTCAAAGCGAGTCAAATTGGCAACATTCGATAGCCCGTTGAGCGGGGCTATCGGATGCATGCCTTTTGACGCCATGATCCTCAACACAACGGCAGATATGAGAGTAGTAAGACCCATCACCGTCATAAGCAGTCTTCCGGGCAATCAAATTATGTAGCATTGAGCGTTTGCGCGTGGTCTTTGGGGTAATCTTTGAGAGGGCGAGAAAAGTTTTCCCTTTCCGTTTTGGGGTGGTTGCCCAGCGAGCATTGCACACGTTGGTCGCCCTTAGGCACTTTCCCGTTTTGGGCCCCCGTTTTGGGGTACCTCGTAGTCACGCAGTTTCCCACAGGCTGAATGCGAATGCGTGGTGCGCGCGGTTTGTCATTTTCTTCAACCATGCAGCCGCAGAACACGCTCTTGATCAGCAGATTGCACTCCCTCGAAGCACAGGAAGAGCAATAACAAGGAAGCCTGCAGTGCGCTCCAGCATCAGCACCTTCAAACGACGACACCCCTACAAGGGATCAAGCCCTCACGAGACAAAGAGATCATGGCAACCTCAATTTCTGAGGAAGACAAGGTGTGGGGCGTATGAGCGAGCTGGTGTGCGAGCGACAACAAGCAGTCAGGTGTTCTCTGATGGTTGGCACTGCTTTGGACTATTTTCTTCTTGCCCGCCCTCGTTCCATTGCTGCATTGCTGTTGGCCAGTGTCGTTCCCCCTCGACCTTCGCGCCGCTCCCTCTCGCATCCTCACCCTAATCACTTGTGTTGTGTTTGCTTTCCCGGATTTGCGGTTTGCGGGTCGGTCTCCATTCGTTTTGCGATGGCGCTGGCGCCACAGAACACCCCCATGTGGGCGGTGTCTCTTGCATTCGAATTTACCCCAGACGCTGTCGCCTGGTTGATCGATCAAATCAAGCGTTCCCCAGCCGTGCACTCGACCTTCTTCAGCAAAGTCAGCAACCCCAACAAACCAAACAAACAGGTGGACAGCCTCGCCATCATTACGGTCGCCAAGCTGCTGGGCAAGGTGGCGAGTCAGGATCATGGTGTTCCAAACTTTTCCTCTGCCATCAACGCTGATGGTGCCAAAAAGAAAATATCTGCATGGCTTGACAAGTAAGTGCACAAGAGCTCTTGTCCTGGCGTGGCGCAGCCCCGCTTGATTATTGTCTCATTCAATACCGCCGCCACACTGTTTGTACGTGGCAGTTTGCTTATTCACAACACTGACTTTTCTTCGCTTCTGTACCCTCTTTGTTGTCATCGCGCGTGATGCTGGCTGCAGGAACAACGACGTGCTGAATGGTTGGTTCATCAACTTGGTGCGCGAGAAGTTTGAGAAGCACCTCAAGGAAAATGGCCTGACCAAGGACATTGACGCGTGGAAGTCCACCATTTTGAATCAGGAATTTGTGAACATGATTGTTGTGGAAAAGGCAAAGGCAAAAGGCGGAGTTCTCACAGCGCAGGTCTTGGCCGTCTTGATCAAGGAGTACTTTGGGCAGACTGAGCTGAACACCTTTCGCAAGCTTGTGGCTTCCGCGACACCCGGTCCAGACGTCGGTGAGACTTTCATCATTGAGGAGTCGTCTGGGAGTGTTTCATGAGGTGCAATGATATCCATCCCCTCCGTCTCCACCTCTGTCTTGGCTGGTTGCAGTGCCTGTTGTTATGCACCATCCCTCACAGTCGCTCCTCTGCATGCCTCTACATTTGTGCTTCTGGTTGGGTTGTCCGTTTTATGAACCAGGCATCTTAGACGTGGTTGACGGCAAGCACGTGTGGATTAATCCACCCTCGACTTTCATAGACAGCGCAGACAAGGCCCTGTCAAAAGATGTGGAGAACGTTGGCAAGAAGAAAACATCCCACAAATACTGCGTTCCAGCCCCAACCCCAGTTCCTGTAACATCCTGCAACGTCACGGAGAAGTGGGGTGCAAGTGCCGCGTCCTGGCTGGACAGCCACGCCTCAGGGCTCGACGGTATCTACAAGAAAGGCACGTGCAAGGTCGCATACAGTTACGAAGTGCTGAGTCGCCCATTAGTGGCGGCTGCTTCTTGCCAAACACACAAGTTTCCATCTTCAAGCATGGGGCTGTGCATCAAGTGCCAATTGCTTCTGTTCAAGAGGACGACGTCATCATATGCCAGGACGGCCATCTTGGTGGTGCGCTTGAGAGTCTTGTGTGTGTGTGTGCGCATGTGTGTGTGTGTGTGTGTGCACGGGCTCGAGAAAGCAACCCTGCTTTGCCAGCAATTCCTGACATTTGGCTTCCTGGCTCCTCTCTCTCTCTCTCATCTCCCTGGCCTTTATCTTGCTTTCTGCAGTTGTGTCAGATGAGCAAATCTGCATCAGCTACACTGGTCCGCTCTACACATTTGAAGCTGTGCCGCTCAGCAAACGCCACACACCTGACGAAGCATCAGCCATCATTGAAGGCCCAGTTTTCACCCCTGAGCACACCTTGTTGTTGTTGTTGTTTTAAGTTGTTGTTGTCGTTGTTGTTTAAGTTGTTGTTGTTGTTGTTTTTTCTTGCTGTTGTTGTTGTTTAAGTTGTTGTTGTTGTTGTTGTTGTTGTTGTTGTTGTTGTTGTTGTTGTTGTTGTTGTTGTTGTTGTTGTTGTTGTTGTGTGTATACTTGCGCTCCATAGCCTTGAAAGGGTGGGGATACTTCTTCTCATTTCGCTCTGGACCTCATCCGTTGTACTGTACGCATGTTTACTCTGTTCATTGTCACGTGTTGTCATTAATGTAGTGCACACGGCAACCTGGTCGCTGTGTCTCCGGATACAGCCAATGCCGAGAACCACTTCGCCCATTGCATGCAACTCACGCCAGGCACCCAGCTACTCCGCGCCAAAGGCATGGACATACACGAGGACGGCACTGCGGTGAAAGTGGAGTACGAGGTGGTCGTCGTTGTCCGCGTGGAGCAAGTTCAACCCTCACCCACGCAGGACGATGGCAACTCAGTTCCAAACCCCGAGCAGCAGCAGCAGGGCCTCGCCTCTGACACATCCGTTAGGCCCGTGATCATGTATGACCTTCACCTTCGCGAAGGGCATCGCAGCTACCATGCTGGTGGCTTCGTCTCCGGCCTCAACTACCCCGAGATCACACGCGCTCGGTTTGACCACATTGCAAACACATCTACACATTTGCCCGCAGTCCATCGCCGAGAGATTCTGCAGACAATCAACAAGCTGGAGAAGCACGGAGGAGCACTGGGCATGACTGGTGGCGAGCCGCACACGAGCGGCATGGCTCGGTCCAAGCCGCACCACAACCCACGTCACCACGCCCGCACCCATGTCGCCCATTTCCGTCACATGCACGCGAGCACAAGCGTCTTCCGGCTGCACGATTGTGATGCATTTGTGTCCACAGCACCGACATCCACTGCCCACGCACCGATGCTGGGCGCGAGCAACATGCACATGGTACTGTCGGAGGGCAATGTGTGCTTTGGGGGCCAAGCAGCCGAGGCTTGCCATTTCACGGATGACGGAACAGTGCTTGCAAAAATGCCGGGAAAGAACCGCTATCTGATGGCACGGTTGCGGCCACATGGTATCTCCGGCCACGCCACAATTGCAACCGTTGACCCCGAGTCGCAGCAGCTCTCCTCAGTGCACACGGTCCAACTCTCGGCGGAGAACGACTACTCCACCAACATTAGACTGCCGTGTGAAGTTCAAGGAGCTGACTTCTCCCAGGTCCCATTGCACCTGCACATCGGGCTGCAAGACGGTGCGGCTTTCGGTTTCCTCTACTATCCAGAGGCCGCGCTTGACTCTGGTGGAAACAACTTGCAGGACGACCTGAACGAGGTGCTGAGAAAGGCTGGGGAACTCAGCACTGTCGGCCTCAACCCCCAGGGTCATTTGGTTTTCAGCATGGATGAAAGCGCTAGACTCACAGAAATTGGCGTGCAAGAGGCTGAACTCACCATTTCCAGTGACGCCAAGTCTGTTTCGGGCACCGCTACGCTTCACAGGCGCAACAGTACAGAGAAGCCCGAGCAAATCGAGGTGTGTGGCCATATCATTCACGCAGCCACTGACAGCGCCCTCGCCCTGAACACTCTGCGTCTGAAGCAGACTGCTTACCCGTCAACCTTAAGTGCACCGCCGAGAATGCTTGCGGGGAAGCCACTCTGGGTGCGCCACGCTGTTCTGCTTGCAGCCGATTTTCCCATGTCAGTGCAAGAGCTTGCCGATATGGCACCACCTGACCCGCATGCAGTGAACGAGTTGACGTTTGCCAAGCTGGAGAAGTTGATGAAAAACTCCATTTCCGAGAAGGACCGGCGTGACCTCTTGGGCGAGGCTCATGCACCATCACTCAGTCGATATGAGAAGGACGTGCTCGAAAAGAAGGGCATGAAGGAGTTTCTTGGTGGCGAGTTCTTTGCCGCTTACCTTGGCCAAGGCACTGTCAACAACAAAGACTTCAAAGACGCCTACTCTAAGTTCACTCCAGGCCAAAAAGTGGCAGACGACAGGCTCAAGTGGTATTGGCGCGGCAGCGGCAAGAGGATGAAACCTGACAACAAAACCGTGGAGAACGCAGACGATGTGACATCAGACAGCAGAAAACACATGGACAAAGTTCTGGGCAAGAGCCGCTACTTTGCCGAAGCGCAGAAGTCTCTTGCCGTCCTCGCCTTTGTTGAGCACCTGCCACAGTTCCACCGATACATGGACCTCAAGCCCAAGGAAAAGGAAGAGTGGGCAAAGAAGCTGTTCGATCACGTCACGAAGCCCGCGTACCTGAACAGTCTCACGACCATCACAGTGCTGGACCACGGCAAGCTGAACAAAATCAGCATGCTGCTCCTGTCCCTTGCACCTGACAAAGACTACGCCAAGACCCTGGCCGTGAACGTGCTGAGCCGGGTGCTGACGACCTTGTCCGACAACTTGGATGACATTGACATTGATCTTCTGCAGCGGCTGAATCAGAACGTGCTTGAGCAGATTGCCGACTTCTTGGTCAACGGCAAAGTCGGCAGTGAGCCTGGAAGCATCCCACAAGAGCTCCTGGAAAAATTCAAGGAGGATCTTGAGCGCGTGGGGTCTGGTCAAGTGTCTGAACAGATTAAGTGGCTCACCGCTGAAAGTGCCAGTGCTTCGAAAGTCTTCAGCAAAGTGAAGGGCCCGCTTTGGACGCGCATTGAGGCGGTTGAGTCTGAGTTTGGCAGTGTTGTTGGGAAGCTCACGTATTGGGTGGCCAAAACGGCTTGCATCGGCCTTGCAGTTTATTCCGTGGCATCGCTCGCTTCTCAGTGGAAGCAGATGAACGCCGATGACAGGGCGATTGCAATCTTGCACACGGGTGTGTCTTCTTTCCGCTTGATGATGCTGTTCGATGATCAGATCACACAGGCCCTGTCAAAGGGCGCCAACTTTTTCTCTCGCAAGCTGGCTCAGCAAAGCGTGGATGCATCGTTTGCGTCGGGAGCAGCATTGGAGGAGAAAGCTGGACAGCTGGACAAAGCAGCACGGTACCTCAACCCTGAGCTTGCTGTGGACGTTCCGGAGACGTCCAACGCGGGCATGGAGATGGTGAGCAGATCACTGGCCGAGGAGGCCGTGGGTATCGAGGCTGAGGCCGAGAAGACGTCGGCGCTCACAGCACGGTGGTCCGAGATGACAACGCTGAAGAAGTTCGTGCGTGTGGGTGGATTGGTTCTTGGTGCTGCGACTGTCGTCTATTTGGCCGTCGACCTCGCAGGCTCATGGGGGAACATGTCGAAGAGTGAACGCGCCCTGAATCTGCTGAACGTTTCTGCGTTCGGCCTTGGGTTGGTGGTTGATGGCGTTGCCTTCGCTGCGGAGCTCGGCGTGACGGCTGTGGAAGCATTGGCCTCCTCAATTGTGCCCGTAGCTGCGCCTGTGCTGCTGGCCGTGGGCTTAGTTGCCACTGTCATTTTGGCGTTCAAGCACAAGAAGCACGCCCGCGTGGACACGCCTCCAGAAGTGTTTATCAAGAGCAAGGTTGTGCCCCTGTTGAACAGCATTTCCACGCCTTCGCGCAAATGGCTGGAGGGCACCGCCAGAGCCAACAGTCGCATGGCCTAACTCAAGAACTCAAGAACACAACAAGAGCACGTGGTAGCACTGCGTTCGAGCTGCTGTCCTTGTCGTTGTTTGGTGGTGGTCGTGGGAAGCGACACTCAGCACTGGACACAGCTGGCGCTCATGCGTGTGAGTGTTTGTCGCGCCCCGCTTTGCAGGTTTTGCTCCTCCACTTTTCCTGCAAGCTTTTGCTTGCGTCCCCTCGTCTCGTTGTTGTTGTTGTTGTTGTTGTTGTTGTTGTTGTTGTTTGTTGTTGTTGTTGAGGAGGGTGAGACATGTCGTGGTACTGTTCTGGCTTGTTCCTCATCTCTCATTTTCCCTTTTCGGGTGTTTTCGTTTGAGCCCCATTTGGTTCTGTTGCGCGCAGATGCATAAAAGCATCCCAACATGGTACACAACGCTCGAGCATTTTTCGTTTTTGGGCCTCTATGCCACCTATCTGCTTCCTCGCGCAAGGCTGGGCAAGGGAAACATCGCCCTATCGCCTCTGAGCGGTGAAGAGGGGTGAGTGAGCGCTGTGCTGCCGTCTGTCGCCGCCACCAACGCAGGCTCCTCTTGCCTGGTAGCACATAGCGCGTCAATCGTCCAGTCCCAGCTCGGGGATGGTCACGTTGCAGTTGCTGCTCTCCTCCCGCAGCGTCAGTGCAAAGGTGCGTGTTGGTGAACAGCGGGTCACATGTTGCTCTGTTCCAGCGTTTGCGTGCAGCATAGATCGTCACGCATGCACGCATCGAGCACGATGTGTATGAGCTCGAGAGAGCTGCTGAGTTGAGTTGGCTGTGGACGGTGTTGTCATTACGGAAGCACTCGCACTGCAAAACAGGAATGGGATGGTCGCAGGAAGGCGCACGCACAGTGAACGTGAGATGGCTGCACTGCACAGTTCAGTTGTGTGCACGCTTGTCTGCGAGAAAGCATGGTGACAACTGAAGGGTAGCAAAACATGCTGCATGCCGATCTCACATGGTGGTTGCATCCACTGCCAAGCCAGTGCAGCGCGAAGAAAGGTTGCCGTCCATGATGATGACGATGAAGGAAAGGGAAGTGAGCTGTGGCCGTGCATGGAGTGCAGGAAAGAGGGTGTCGTTACACTGCGCAAGTTGCCTTCATTGTTGTTGCTGCTGTTCTGCTGTCAGCATGCGTCCTTGTTTGTGTCACTGGCAGTGGTTATCATCGTTTGGAAGTAAACGATGAGGTGGAAGAAGGTAGCAGCTGCAGCACACATTTGGAATCACGCCGTGGTTCGCTGTCTGTGCGGGTGATGATGATGGGAGCAGCAGGAACTGATGCGGTGTGCAGTGTGGAAGCGACAGTGCTGTTGTTGATCCACAACCAGCCCAAGCCAACGTGCGCGACAGCACAAAGCACACCAAGCAAAACCCACTTCATGTTTTCTATTCTGCAGTCTGCGTGTGTTGCCAAAAGTGCCAGAGATTTCCTTCTCGTGCAAAACAAATCATCGTAGGGCAATTAAATTATTGCAAGTGAGGAAGGAAAGTGTTTGCGCAGAAGGAAACAAAGCCAGCAAAACTGGGAATCCTTTCCTTCCCTGGTGTATTGTGTTGTTTTTCTCGTGTTTTCTTTTTCTTTTCTTCCACTTCGTTCCCTTCGCTGTCCTTCCCTTCACTGTGTCAACATGCCGCGTCCTCCTCCTCCTCCTCTCCCAGCTACTGCTGCTGCTGCTGCTGCTGTTCGCCTTCATCATCGCTGGGCGCTGTTTTCCCTGTTGCCACCACTGTTGTTGTTGTTATTGGCAGGCTGGTCGGTGGCTCGTGTCCATGGCAGCGGCTGTTTGAAGGATGCTGTGTGTGTGAGTGTGAGTATGTGTGCGTGTGTAAGTGTGTGTGTGTGAGTGTTTGTGAGTGTTTGTGAGTGTTTGTGAGTGTGTTCTCGCCTTGTCCGCTCCGGTTGTGGTGCTCTTGTTGTCCTCGCGTCTTGCTTCTTTGCCACGTGCCTTCTGCTCCATTCACGGTCGCACTTGCAGCTGCCACTGACTCACACCTCCACACCACCACATCTCCACCTCTCCACGTCCGTTTCACAACACCAAGGACCGCACGCTGTCCCCCTCCGTGGACACAACTTTGAGGCACCTGGAAACAACGCTCAAAGAGCATCGCGTGCTGTTCGCCACGGGACAGTTGCGTCCACGAACCATTTCTTCCACCATGATTGATCTGTCATCGATCCAACGCATGATGAACGCCTTTGGGTGCAACAGCAACGGTGTCGAGGAGAGAAATAGGGGAAATCAACACCCATCAAAGGCAGCCCATCTCAACCAGACACGGCATGTGCTGCCCTCCTCAAGAGCGCACAACCGCACCCCTCATGCACACGCGTGCGACGCGCTGGTAGCGACGAACAACCCTGCAAAGCATTATTGATGGCTCGTGCGCTGGAGCCTTGGAGCTAGCGCCAATGGTGTACTGTTCCTCACGGTTTCTGGCCACGAAGCAGTCAACAGCACAACTGACACGAGCACTTTGCAAGCGGCATCAATGACAGTGAGGCACTTGTCTTTGCAAGGGCACGTTGAAGCAGAGGTGCTTCAATGGATTGTCAACAATGGCAACTGGACCTCGTGCACGACGGTGCGCATCACTGGTGTGCAGTTCCCAGTGTTTCATTTGAGCGTGCTCAACGATTTTCCCATCCTGGATGCCATCACTATCAAGACAACACACTACTCCAGGAAGTTGGCACAGGGGGGTTCGAGCATGCGGCACAGCTGTTTGCGCTTCGTTTGGGAAACAACTCCCTTGCATCGGTCCCAAAGGTTGCAGGGATGACATCCCTGGTCGAGCTTGATTTGGGTGGAATGAAATCTTGCACGTCCCAGCAGAGTTTGTGGACCTCACAGCCCTGCGTGAGCTCTTTCTCGACTCCAACATCATCCGCGCCATTCCCACTGGCGCGTTTCATTCACTGAAACACTTGACATGGCTGGAGCTGGGCGCAAACCCAATCCAACAGCTTCATGCACACGTGTTTGCTGGCCTAACGCAGCTGCACACATTGAAAGTGGGTGGCACCCTCCTCGCCAGTCTGCCACCCACCATCTTTCAGACAAACCGCCGATTGAATGACGTCGTTCTCGAAGGGAACCTCCTCACGTCCCTCCCAGACTCTATCTTTGCTGGGCTAACTTCTCTACGGCACCTGTCCTTAAACAACAACCGCTTGACGTCATTGCAGCCAGCATTGTTTCGAGATTCAATCTCCCTGAGCGACTTGAGCCTGAGAGACAACCAATTGACAGCATTGCCTGGTGGATTGCTTGACTCATGTGTCAGGCTGGAGTGGCTGTACTGTGATAACAACCGTCTCAGTGGGCTAACCCCCGACCTATTCGCACACTCGCCCAACTTGCGGGAGGTCACTTTCGAAAACAATCGCCTTCGTCACGTTGACGGGCTGTTTGACACAGAGTTTCCACGCCTCGAGCGCATTGACATGGCGGCGAACAAGCTGACCCGGTTTCTCATTCCCAACCCATGGCCTTCCCTGCACACCCTCGTCCTGGGCGACAATCCCATGCAATACATGCCAGACATGACGAAAGCGCCTGCACTTCGTGTGCTGCGCATGCAGAACCACGATGTCAAAAGGATCGATCTCACACCGCTTCTGACTCTTCCAAATCTGACAACTGTCGAGCTGGATGCAGCGCATGATGACGACAGAACCAGCAGAGCAGTGTTGGACGCCACCAACTTGACACCTTCTCCACACCTGCGCACCCTCAGCTTGCAACACGTGGACGTGAGTGAGGTGATTGACCAACTGCTGCAACTGCCGCTTCAGCTTCAAGTGCTCGGGCTGGGATGGCCAGGCGCCGACAACCGCACTTTGCCATTGGAAATGGTATGCAATGTACTGACAGACACAGTGGACGTGTTTCGCCTCGTCAACACACGGCACACGAGGTTGCATCTCTGTGCGAACAAAACCTTCCAAACTGTTCAGATCCAACGCAACAAGCACCTCAAGTTGGTCATCGTCCCCAGTGCGCTGAGAGAGCTGAACGCGTCCGATTGCACGCAGTTAACCCAGATCGATGCGCCGTTCATTGACGTGCTGGACATCAGCAACACACGCATTCAGCCCAGCACTGCCTTGTGCACGCGGTGGGGTCGCCGTGTTTTCTTTGCGCGCAACCTGAGGGCCGAGAGCAACTTCAACCTGACACATGCTCGAGTTATCATTTCCACATGCCTTGTTGTCGCTGATTTGATTGACCTCTCGGGAAACAATTGGCTGAATGACCCCGTCGAAGTCAACCGAATCGTTGGAAACGAGATCGCCCTATCCGAATCAAACCTCAATCGCAACGGACGAGTTTTTCCTCGCAGGCCTCGAGTGCCAGTGCTGCAACTGCAAGGCGCTCCTATCGATTGCGCGCTTCAACTCTCGAGTGGTGACTTTGATCTTTCCGATAACACGATCCCTGGGGTAGATGATTCAGTCACTGAGATTGTTTTCTCCTTCCATTGCCAGTGCTCACAAGGGCATGAGATGCGACGCGGGCGGTGCGAACCAATTGAGCTCGACATTGTGCCGGCTGTGCTGGGGACGCTCACTGGCGTGCTTGCACTGCAAGCGTTGCTGTTCATCGGGTACCGCACGTACAAGAGGCAAAGGCGTTTACAAGCAGATAACGCGCTCAAGGACCAATTGCTGGTGGAGATGGACGAGGAGGTGATGGCGCTGAAGAAAGCGTGGGAGATTGGGTATGATGAGCTGAAAATGATGAAGCGTGTTGCTGCGGGTGCATTTGGCGTGGTGTTCAAGGCACAGTGGGACACGGTGACGGTGGCCGTCAAGGTGCTGCAGCAAGCCGTCATGGCATTTGACGAGAGCACGGTGGTTGAGTTTGAGAAGGAGGTGGAGTTCTTGCAGCGGACACGACACCCGAATGTGGTGCGGTTCTTTGGTGCGGGGACCGGTGTCTGCTCCGGCTACCATTTCCACATGCCTGTTTCTCCTTGATGTGGTTGATCTCTCGGGGAACAAGTGGCTGAATGACCCCGTCGAAGTCAACCGAATCGTGGGACACGAGATCGCCCTATCCGAATCAAATCTCCGCCGCAACGGACGAGTTTTTCCTCGCAGGCCTCGAGCGCCAGTGCTGCAACTGCAAGACGCTCCCATCAATTGCGCGCTCCAACTCTCGAGCGGAGACTTTGATCTTTTCGATAACACGATCCCTGGGCTAGTTGGTTCAGTCGCTGAGATTGTGTACTCCTTCCATTGCCAGTGCTCACAAGGGCATGAGATGCGACGCGGGCGGTGCGAACCAATTGAGCTCAACATTGTGCCGGCTGTGCTGGGGACGCTCGCTGGCGTGCTTGCACTGCAAGCGTTGCTGTTCATCGGGTACCGCACGTACAAGAGGCAAAGGCGTTTACAAGCAGACAACGCGCTCAAGGACCAATTGCTGGTGGAGATGGACGAGGAGGTGATGGCGCTGAAGAAAGCGTGGGAGATTGGGTATGATGAGCTGAAAATGATTAAGCGGGTGGCTGCGCGTGCATTTGGCGTGGTGTTCATGGCACAGTGGGACACGGTGACGGTGGCAGTCAAGGTGTTGCAGCAAGGCACCATGATGTTTGACGAGAGCACGGTGGTTGAGTTTGAGAAGGAGGTGGAGTTCCTGCAGCGGACACGACACCCGAATGTGGTGCGGTTCTTTGGCGCGGGGACAGATGCAAACGGCAGCCCGTTCCTGGTGCTGGAGTTTGTTGCTCTGGGGTCGCTCAAGAACCTGTTGGGCAAAGACATGGAGCAAGTGTTAACGGAGGTGGAGCGAGGGGAGCAAAGTGGGGAAAACAGTGTGGAGGAGGGTGTCACAGCATCAGAGATCGTGGGTGAGGAATTGACGTTGGTGAGCACAGGACGCGACAGAAGCGTTGAGACAACGACTGTGTGGGGTCTGAAGCTGCGACTACTGCGCGATGTTGCCAGTGGGATGGCCTTTATCCACAGCCTCGACCAGATGCACCGGTGTGTGTGTGTGTGTGTGAGTATGTGTGTGTGTGAGTATGTGTGTGTGTGTGTGTGTGTGTGTGTGTGTGCGCTTGTCTGCAGGCATGTGCTTCTTGCTCACCCCTTCATCTCCACTCACCCATCCACCATCCACTTTACAGGGACTTGAAGCGTGGCCACGTGCTGGTGTCGTCATCGCTGCGTGCCAAGATTACGGATTTTGGATCCATCCGCCAGTGCTTCACTCGTGACAGGAACCAGCAACAGCAGCGCGCCCGGCTGTCGTCCAGCCAAGATGGTTGTGATGATCCGCAGTACAGCCAGCAGGCTGGATTGCAGACGATGACGAGCATGACGCTGACGGCTGGGGTGGGCACGCCGCTGTACATGGCACCAGAGGCTTTGACAGGCGACAAGTACAGCTTTGAGGCGGACATCTTCAGCTTTGGCGTGCTGATGTGGGAGGTGGCGACGCAGCGTGTGCCGGATTTGATCGAGCAGGAGAAGGGGAGCGGGTACCGTGGTCCGATCCTCGCCACCATCAGCAACCTGATGAAGGATGGGAAGCGGCTGCGATTGATGATGGTGAGGGTGAGTTGTGTGTGTGTGTGTGTGTGTGTGTGTGTGTGTGTGTGTGTGTGTGTGTGTGTGTGTGTATGGCTGGATTGGTTGCTTGCACGTCGTTCTTCCTCACGCACACATGCACACACACACACACCTCCGCACAGCCATCCCCGAGTGGGTCCAGTCGCTGACATACAAGTGCATGGCTCAGAACCCACGTGAGCGTCCATCGTTTGGAGAACTCAAGGACCACCACTTTGCTTGATTGCACGTGCGTGTGTGCGTGCATGCGCACTTGCTTACTCTTTCTTGTGTATGCATGAGTGAATGTGTCTTCAGCATGCATGTATTGCGGGGTTGAAACGACGCAAAGTGCAAGCAATAAACCAACACCAACGCAAAGACAAACCAACAGAACCCATCAACTTCAAGACATGTCACATGTCATTCTGTGATGGTCGGCAACGTTGTTCTGCACGTGCTGTGCTGCATCTCCTTTTTTCAGCGCACGCAGCACACCCTGCCACTGCACGCTGCAGCCACCACTTGAAAAAGCGTCGCGCATCCATCCTCCTCCTCCTCCTCCTCCTCATGCGTCAGCCACACAGCAGCTGGAACTCAACATCTGCGCAGTCCGACGTGAGCGCAATCAGCAGGTTCAGCAGCACCATGGAGATGACACACAGGACGCGCAGCAGCCAGCACCACCACTGTAGTCGCCGTCAAAGGTGTCCAGGTCAACGTCCACCAGCAGCAGCAGCATGTTGTTGAATACGAGCAGCAAGCCCGTTGGCCGACAACGTGTTGCCGTTAAGCAAGAGGAGGCGGAACGACGTCCACCTCGGCCAAATTGCTGATGCCGAGGACGAGCAGAGCAGGAAGTAGCGCATGTCAAAGCAGATGAGCCAGGATCATGCGCTGGCTGGAACGGCTGCAGGTGGTACAGCAGAGGAAAGGAACGTATGTGCGTGCTGGGAAGGGTGCGTACTGGGAAGGGTGCGTGTTGGGAAGAGTACGTGCCACGCACTACAAATACCAATGCCGCATCCGTCACTTCCAACCAGCCGTGACTGCCGCACCTCCTGCACCATGTCCACAACCAGCCAGCACACCCAGCGCCAGGATGATCACCACCGACTTGTTGTCACCAACTCCCAGCAGCAGCTGTGCCACGTCCTTGCCACTGCTGTGACGAAGGCGACGGTGAGCAAGTACCACGCCACTGCTGACGCGAACAATGAAGCTGCCAAACAGCTCCGCTTCGCCCGCAGGCTGAAAACCGTCATCATTCACAAACCCAGCTGCACGCGCCAAGTGGCACCACGCGCGCCCCAGCGTCCTCAAGCTTGGCCAGTTCACCCGACAACTTCAGCAGGTTGTGCCCAAAACGTGCGGCTGCTCATCTCGCTGATGAATGTCCTGTCCGACTCAGTGAGACAATCATGCTCGCTGCTTGCGGTTGTACTGCTTGTCGGCGGTGGATTCTGCAAGCTCAAGCTCGCTCGAAAACGTGCACACAAGCAGAATGATGTCTGTCACGAGTGTGTGCGTCAGGGACGACAGGGCTTCGCTGCCAGGGCTTGTGGCCTCCAAGGTTGAAGGCTCTGGCGAACTCACACACCTTGTCCACAACGCACTGCTCTGCGCTGCATTCGAGCCAGGACACAGAGCGCGGAGTGCGGAAGATGGCACAGACTGCGGGCGCGTGGATGGCCTTGCTGGCCGCAAACGACAACAGAGACAGAGGCGTGTCTGTCTCGGCATCCTGAACGGCGGCGCTCACGGTGGCAGGGAACATGCGCACGGCTCGCTCCAGCTCAGCAACGCTGCCAAAGTCAAGTGAACGGGAGGTGGGTGACAAGGACGATGGCTCCAGGCATCGCGCCTTGGGTCAATCTAGATGGCCAACAGGGCGGATCTCGACGGCCGTTGTGTTGACCTTGTTGAAGCTGAGCACACAATACGCAGCCGGCACCGCAAAGCTCGGCCATACAGGAGCACGTGCTTTGCGTCGCGTGTTGATGCGGCTGATTCAAAGCTTGCACTGGCCGGCGTGTTGCTATGTAATGGGCTGCCAGCCTCGCATGCTCTACAGCACAATGGCAACAGATGTCGTGTTTCACTGCTCCAGGGTGTGCGTGGTCAGGACGTGCTCCCCATCCAGGGGCTGGCGCACACCCCCGCTGTTGCCTCTGATCGATTGCGCTGACCACCAAACGGAGGGCGGCACAGCGGCCACACGGCAGGGGTCGTTCACGTTCCAAACACTTTGCGCCACCGTACCCAGCAACGACCAGGAGCACACTGTTGCAAGGGGGCTGTGGATCAGGGACACGTACAGCGACGAGGAGGAGGAGGGGGTCAGGCTGTACAGCGCCCAAAACACAGGCCTCCGGCACAAGCAGGTGCTGGTATCTGCTCGCAAACACACTGATGGTGCTGATCAAACCATGGCCCTCGCCACAAAGATGCCACAGGACCACAAGAGAAGGTGACGAAGTGGTGGCTGATGCGATGGATTGGATCTCCGAGACGTGCACGCTGGCGATTTGGCGGATCGTGTGCACTTCGTCGTAAGCGTTGCTGAAGAGGTGGCCACTTGCCACGACCAGTGGATGGCTGCGGCCGCAAAGCCGCGAAGCCACAAACGTCAGCGGGGTTGCTCAAGGATGCAACAGCAGCGCACGCGTCGCAGCATCCACCACCTGCACCACACGGCCCAGATGAACCTTGTAGTGGAGGAGGCGCACGGTCGCATGCAACAGGTGCATGGCCAGAAAACACCTCCAGCAAGCAGGTTGTCCTTGATCATCAGAACGACGTCCGCTGACTCAATGTTGATGCCGTTGTCAACGACCACCACGATGTCGCCCTTGCGCCTGCAGCTCTTGCACGCTGCTGCGAGCGCGTTGTCGATGCCAACCTCTGCCCCAAATGGACCGCGCAGTGCCCTCGTTGTCGCCCGTGAGCATGACCAGGCGCAAGCCGTGCTGGTGCAGCAGGCGCACCGCTCTCTTCACCTTTAGGGCTTGCGCGTGTCAGCGCGCACAAACGTAGCCCAGGCAGAAGCTTGCCGTCTGCCGAGCACCCAACAACCGTGCAGCCACGCGTCTCATCGTCTTCGTGCATCGTCTGCCGCTACTTGCCGCTGATGGCGTGGGATTGCCAACACCACAATGTACATGCCAATGACAATGGGCATGCTGTCCACGGTTGCTGAGATGCCCCCGACCAGAGACCGTCTGGAAGTCCGTTGCCGGAGACAGCGCCGACGTGCGCCATAATCGCCTGGCCCAGGGCATGCTCGCTGTTTGCCTCTGCAGTCGCCACCAGCTTCGACGGGGTGCCGTCCTCCGTCCACGTGTGACCATCGCCGAGCACGCGCACACACGTGGCTTTTGGCGATCCAACCGTCAGCGTTCTCGTCTTGTCAAGCACGGCCTGTGGGGAGGGGGAGTTGAGTGGGTGTGAGAGAGAGAGAGTGTGTGTGTGTGTGTGTGTGAGTGTGAAGGTGAGTGTGGGCATGGAGTTGTGAGTGAGTGAGTGTGTGAGTGTTCTCTAACCACGACTCGCGAGCACCAGTACGAAGCACCACACACAGACAGACATACACACACACACACACACACACACACACCGAACGTGAGCTCCAATTTGTCAGCGGCACCCGAGGTCAGCGGCGCAACCCACACACCAACAGCAGCACGATGCCTGACACAAAGCGCCCCGCCAGCTTATCTGGGAAAGAAAAAGGAGGGAAAGGAAAGGAGAGGGTGTGTGGGTACGTGTGTGAGTGGGAATGTCTGCAGAAACAGTGACAGGCACGTGTGAACCGGTGGTTTAGCATGTTGTTTCCACCACACACACACACACACACCTACTGGATGGGCGCCTTTGACAGCTGTGCATTCTCACTGCCAACGTGCGTGGCCTCGAAGACCATGCACCATGGTGCCGCCCAAATGACAATGTCATCAACGCCTTTGGAGACGAGACGGGATTTGATTTGCCCCGTGATCATGGCCTCGTCCATTTCACCTGCACCCTCCAGCACGCGTCCATCCAATCCACACACACTTTGTCACCAGCCACCACCTACATCCAAGAACGTGAGGAAAGGTGAACGAGATGCAACGACAGTGCAGTATCGGGCTGCTGCCACAATCTCAGCTGAGGGTTGCAACAACTGCCACATTGCTGCTGCAGCAGCTACAACCAACCACCCGCCATCACCCACCACCACCATGTTACGCACCACCACGAACTTCAACACCCACCCCGTCATCACGCACCTTCAGGTCGTCGCCGCGCTGCACGAGCTCGGTGTCAATTCGCTCCTCCACGCGGTTGCCTTGACTATCGTCCTTCGGCAGGCTGGAGGTGCTGCCTTTGGCGAGGTGTTCGATGTACCGCCCGAGCGAAACAAAGGTGCTGGTGAAGAGGGAGAATGCCGGTCTGAATGAAGCGGTCGCCACCACCACCACCAGTCAGAGCCTTCGTGGGAGGCGGGTGCAACAATGAGTATCACCATGCAGCCCTGTGGCGGATTTGTAATAACGCAAGAGCAAGTGCGTGTGGATCAGCGACATGTGTGCACGCATGCAAACGTGAGCAAAGAAGGCATGTGTAACGCTCTCTTGTTCACTGCAGTGGTGGACGTGAAGAGAACGCGCGGAAGTGGTCGCAACAAACCACACACACATGCACACACACACACACACTCACAGACACACACATACCACATGCATGTTGGCAGCACCGTGCATGGTGGACTGCACCGCGGAGACGAGACAACGGCTGACCGGGAAAATGAAGGAGATTAGGCCCAGCAGCATGAGGATGAGGTTATGCGTTGCGACATGTCATCGACGATGCGCGCATCCCAGGAGTCTGGCCACACGCGGCAGCAATGATGGTGGACGCGACGAAGAAACACGGTGGTGCACACGATGAAGGTGATGGGGCAGAAGCGGATCTCGCTCCTGTGGGTGGCGGTGCTTCGTGGTGCAGCTCCCTCACGTACCCGGCATCCTTCAGCGTGCTGCAGTCACGAATGGGGGGTTGTGTGAGGTGAATAACACAGGGCGTTCTTGTGAGCAAGTGGTGGTGGCAAGAAGACATTGCAGCAAGGGCAGACACAGAGTCCGTTGAAGGGATGCGGTTGGAGGGGGAAGCAGAGAAGAAGCAAGACGAAGCGACACGTACAAGTACAGAAACACACACTCACATACACACACACACACACGCACACACATGCGCACGTGATCATGTCGCGTGGGCCCCGTTGCGTGGTAAGCAGAAATACATCTTAGGCACGCGTGAACGGTGGTGTAGCGTGTCGTATCCAGTACATACACACCTGCTGGATGGGCGCCTTTGACAGCTGTGCATTCTCGTTGTCAACATGCGTGGCCTCGAAACGATGCACCATGGTGCCGTCCATACGACAATGCCGTCAACGCCTTTGGAGACGAGACGAGTGTTGATTCGCCCCGTGATCATGGCCTCGTCCGTTTCACCTGCACTCTCTGGCACGCGTCCATCCAATCAATTCACAGGCACTTTGTCACCAGCCACCATCTGCAACCAAGAATGTGAGGGAAGATGAGCGAGATGCAGTGACAGTGCATTATCTGGCGGCTGCCACAACCGCAGCTGAGGGCTGCGACAACTGCCACACTGCTGCTGCTGCTGCTACAACCAACCACCCGCCCATCACCCACCACCACATATAAGCACCACCACCAACTCCAACACCCAACCCTCATCACGCACCTTCAGTTTGTCGCCGCGCTGCACGAGCCCGGTGTCAATTCACTCCTCCACGCGATTGCCTTGACTGTACCTTCCTTCGGCAGGCTGGAGGTGTTGCCTTTGGCGAGGTGTTCGATGTACCGCCCGAGCGATATAAAGGTGAAGAAGAGAGTGCCGGTCTCCAAAGAAGAGGTCGCCACCGCCACCACCAGTCAGAGCCTTCGTGGGAGGCGGCGGCAACAATGAGGACGACAAGGGAGCACAAGTATGCAGCCCTGTGGTGGATTTGCAGCAACGCAAGGGTAAGTGCGGGTGGATCAGCAATATGTGTGTACGCATGCAAACGTGAGCAAAGAAGGCACGGTAACGCTCTCTTGTTCACTGCAGTGGTGGACGTGAAGAGAACGCGCGGAAGTGGTCGCAACAAACCACACACACATGCACACACACACACACACTCACAGACACACACATACCACATGCATGTTGGCAGCACCGTGCATGGTGGACTGCACCGCGGAGACGAGACAACGGCTGACCGGGAAAATGAAGGAGATTAGGCCCAGCAGCATGAGGATGAGGTTATGCGTTGCGACATGTCATCGACGATGCGCGCATCCCAGGAGTCTGGCCACACGCGGCAGCAATGATGGTGGACGCGACGAAGAAACACGGTGGTGCACACGATGAAGGTGATGGGGCAGAAGCGGATCTCGCTCCTGTGGGTGGCGGTGCTTCGTGGTGCAGCTCCCTCACGTACCCGGCATCCTTCAGCGTGCTGCAGTCACGAATGGGGGGTTGTGTGAGGTGAATAACACAGGGCGTTCTTGTGAGCAAGTGGTGGTGGCAAGAAGACATTGCAGCAAGGGCAGACACAGAGTCCGTTGAAGGGATGCGGTTGGAGGGGGAAGCAGAGAAGAAGCAAGACGAAGCGACACGTACAAGTACAGAAACACACACTCACATACACACACACACACACGCACACACATGCGCACGTGATCATGTCGCGTGGGCCCCGTTGCGTAGGTCTCGTGCTTGACTTCCACACGGCACGACGCACCATCAATCTGCACCGTTTGAACACCGGGCAGGGTCCTCAGCGTCGCCTGTAATGCGTGTCCAGCAACAACGACGGCGGCAGCAGGAGAAAGAGAGGTTGAAGCGGCGGCAGGCATGTGTACATACAAGCAACCGTGCGTGCATGCAAGCCAAAGAGACAAGCAGAGATGCAGTGCTTCACACATCGCATACCTTATGCTGCGGTACGTCATGTCTTGTTGATGCGTGCGTTTCCTCGCGGGCCTTTGTATCCGCCGACCTCGCCAATGCTGGCGATGATGGGTGCAGGGCTTCACCGGCGCGGTGCCAGCGAGCAGGCCCACACGACACATTGCTGTGCACGCCGAGGCATGCGCCCTAAATGTTGGGTACGCATGAGGCGCACGACATGCCTGTGGTGCAGCGCAGTGGTAGATGCAGTGTGTACCAACGAGAATTATTTGTGGAAGTGAGGAAGTACCGAAGTAAGGATGCACACACACACACATAAGTGCACACGCAAGTGCATGCACGCACCCCAGAGGCGTGAGGAGCTGCTGCTGTGCTGGCGTGGGTTGATGGCTTTCCGAAGAGTGTCGGCAAAAGCATCTTGGTGGTTGTCGGAGGGCGCCGATTCCTCCCTTGTCGGGTGTGCTCGAAACTGAAGTGGAGGACGTGGGCACCTCATCAACAGCCTGCTGTTACTCACGCTGCTGTGGCGGTGAGATGATTTCAACGGAGTACCCGCCCTCGCGTACAATGTCTGCCAGCTCATCGCGTGACACCTCTGCAAGGTGTTCGACAGCCACCGTCTCGTGTTCGATCATGAGTGTGGCCTTGATCACCGTTGGCCCCGCACGCTGCTGTCGCATACGATGGCCGCAATGCTCTGAGCACACGAGCCACACAACACGGTGGACTTTGCCTGCGGGGCTGCCTTGGTTGTTGTTGTGGTGGTGGTAGTGGAGTTGGAGTCAAGTGGCCACATGCAGCAGTAGCAGTTTCACGTTGTTCTTCTGCTCCTCCATCCACCGTCTGGCAAGGACAGCTGGCCCACACTCGACATCACGCATGTTTGTATCTGTCCTGGCGAGGAGCCGTGTTGGTGGGGAGGATTTGGCGCTGCACGCATGCACGCTGGTGCCAACCAGACTGGAGGGAGGAAAGGCACACGCCCAATGATACTTGCAGCAGTGGCTGGGGAGTGTCTTGGACAGCGAGGGACAGCTCCATCACGTGCGTACATCAGGTGCACCTGTGTGCGTCCTTGTCTGCATGGACACTATGTTCACAGAGGCACGAGGCAGCGTGGAGAAGGTGGTGGTGGGAGGACGAGAACGACACGACAACAGACGCGACGTCAGGCACGAGAGGAGGTAAGGTGCACCAGCACAAGCTGGGGGTGATGGAAGGGAGGCAGATGGGCGTGAGCACGTGTCGTTGGAACAATGTGTGATGTATGTGAGCGTATGCGTGTACGTGTGTTGCGCAGATAAGGCTAAGCAATGCAATGCAATGCAATGTGATGCAATGCAATGGAATGACCTCACACTCACACACACACACACCTTTGGATGAACAGGTTGTCTTCGGTCACGATGCCTGCCTCCTTGACATCAGTTCAATTCACGCCCTCCTTTTGCACTGCGTGATGAAGCTGTGTGCCGTGTGTGCTCTGTCCTTGTTGGTCCAGTGATGAGAAGGAAGGCTGAGGGATGGATGGATGGATGGATGGATGGGATGGATGCGTTTCAACGTGCTTCCTTGCTTGCCACAACAACACACACACAACAGTGAACTTGTGTGTGTGTGGCTAGAAATCCAATGCACGACTCCCAACAATCGTCCACAACCACAACCAGCCAAAACGCCACAAACAACAACCAACAAACCGCACCAATCCTGCTGTCTCTTCTCTTGGTGCTGTGTCTGTCCTGCGAACAGCTACAGCCACGCGAACGGGGAAGGAGGGAGGCACACTTAACTCCTACTTCTGTTCTTTCCTTCTTCCACTCTTCTCTCTTCTCTTTTTGAACGATGAGAACGATGGGGTGCCTGCAGGCACGTGGGGTGCTGCTGCTCCCCGCACTCCTGGTGGCGGCGGCAGTGTGCTTGGTGCCGCTCATCAGCAGCGTCGTTGGAGAGGTGACGCTGGTGGAGGATGATGCGGGCGCGTTTCACATCAACACCAGCGATCCAATGAGCCAGCCCGTGTTCGTGAACGGGATGAATGTGCACGAGACGCTCGGCATGTTGATGAGTACTGTGTCGGCGCAGCAGAGCCTGAACGCTGCGCAGGAGGGCGTGATCGATGCACAACGGAGTGCGATTTCGGCTCAGCAGAGGGCGATTGACCGTGTCCGTGGCGAAGTGTGCACCCCAAGTGCCACGACGTTTGGTCAGCTTGACTCACTGAGTGCGAAGTGGCTTGGGGGTGTGGTGGCCAACAACGGCCTGATCTATGCCGTACCATACCACTCTCCTTCTGTGCTCATCGTCGACCCCACCACCAACACCGTCGACACGACCACCATCTCCGGACTTGGAACGGACTACGGCAAATGGGCTGGTGCCGTGCTCGCACACAACAGCCTGATTTACATGTTTGCATCAGACAGGGAGACGATGCTCATCATCGATCCAGACACCAATACGGCTGACACTACAAGCATCCACTCGCTCGGTTCTGGCACCTCCAAGTGGTGGAGTGGCGTGGTGGCAAGCAACGGTCTCATCTTCGGTGTCCCATACTTCGACGACGCTGTGCTGGTCATTGATCCAGAGACAAATACGACAGACACCACCACGCTGTCCGGGCTGTGGAGCCAGAGCTCGAAATGGTATGACGGTGTTGAGGCAGACAACGGCCTCATCTACTGCATTCCCACTGTGCCTTCCTCTGTCCTCATCATCAACCCAGAGTCCCTGACAATGGACCTCACAACCATCAGTGGGCTTGGCTCCATGGAATACAAGTGGTGGGGCGGTGTGCTGGCAAGGAACGGGCTCATCTACACAATACCAATTTACTCAGCAACTACGCTCGTCATCAACCCGGCCACCAACATCGCGGATAAGCTCGTCATTGCAGATGCGACATCGGGTTACAGGTGGATCGGCGGCGTGCTTGCACCCAACGGCAACATCATTGGCATCCCAGTCAGCTCGTCGTCAGTCCTCATCTTCGATCCAGCCACCAATGCGACAGACACAACAACCATCAACGATCTTTCAGGGCTTGGCAAGTGGTACGGTGGCGTGCTCGCTCCAAACGGCCTCATCTAGGCATCCCACACTATGCTGAGTCCGTCCTCGTCATTGACCCGGGCTGCTGATGTGTGTGTGTGTGTGTGTGTGTGTGTGTGTGTGTGTGTGTGTGTGTGTGTGTGTGTGTGTGTGTGCATGCGTGTGCCCTTTCTGCACCTTTCCCCTTCTTTTCATCCCTGCTTGCATCAACCAATGTTCCTCCTTCAATCCCTGTGACCGCATGAAACGACTCAAACCCTCAACCGAGTACACGCTTTTGGATAGCGGAAGAAGCTGTTCCACAACTGCGGAACGCAAAGTGTTCATGCTGGGGTAGAGGCAACACTTCCAGGACATGCGAGTCATCAGCACGCAAGTCAATGAACTTCCATTCTCCTGACATCAACATGGGGTGTCAACACGGGTTCAACCGCACGCACACACACATCCTCTGTTCCACCCACGCACTCGACTTTCATTGCCCCGTTCATACACACGTGAATTTCATTTCCGTTCACAACAACTGCCACGGTTAAACTTGTTGGCAACGCGCACACTCAATCAAGAACGAGTGCGCGGAGTGCAAGCATGTTTCCACTCACATAAGACACAACAAAGAAGAAAATTAAAGATGGTTCAACAGTCCTACACACACACACACACACACACACACACACACACACACACACACACACACACTACACTACCGACATCCCGTGCCCCCTGCCGCCGGTGCAGAGGGGCTATCTCGCGTGGCATACCGTAACAGCGATAGGACAAGGCAGTGTTGTCTCATGCTATCCGCTCGACGGTTGCGCCGTATGGTCACAAACCGGATAAAGGACCCAGGGCTCTCAACCACCCTATTTAAAGGAATCACAGGTTCATCCCCGGGCGGCGGCGATGATTAATGTGCAGCGTGTGACATCATCGTCAAGCAGATGATGTACTCCGGGTAGCACATGCCGTTGTCGTAGATGACAAACATGTCCGTATCGCTGTCGAAACCGCGAGCGGAATCGTACAACACGCTCCCAGCAGCAGCAAAAGCAGTCGTGCGGCCACCAGGACTCTCAGCACCACCCGAGGTCCTTCACCAGCAGCAACTCGGCCACTTCCTTCTCCTTCGTCACCACCATGGCGAGCAGCAGCAGCAGGCAACGTCATTCGACTGCGGCGCCGATACATCGACATACACGCGCCGCTCGCTGGTGGTGTCGTTCTTGTCTTTTGCGCTGCCCTCGTGGTGGCCATACTTGACAGCAAACGACGGGTCGTGACTGAAATACAGGCCGGAGCCAAAGTAGCCCTCAGCGCTGGCGTAATTGATCGTCAGGCCAAGCTCGCTCTTGCAGATGACGTGCAGCAGGCGGTGCGCAAACACGATGTTGTCGTCATCGTCGCCAGAGAGCGGCGTAATGTCGTTGGGCAGGCTTGGTGGCGCGGGCCGCCAGTGCACGCGGTGCACGCTCTCCAAGTACCGCTTGAACAGCGGCACCTTCTGCACGCGCTGCACGCGCATGTTTCGGGGGAGAAGCGGCTCCAACTGGGGGCGCGCACACACACGACCCAGCTCGTCCTCGCTGGACACGTCAACAAGCAACTGGCCCTTGCGCATGTCCCAGCGGTCAGGAAGCTCAAAGATGGCCTGTGGCTCCAGCTTCGACCGCTGCTCGTCCACCACCCGCCGCACGCTCAATCTCAGGCGCAGGTCGTTCTTGCGCATGCCCACGTGCTCCACTCACGTACACCCAGTGTTCCTGGAGGTCCACCGTGAAGTAGCCGTCAACCACTGGATCTTGAAGAAGAGCGCACCGACTTCCAGCGCGGTACTTGTTGAAGGCGTTCTCAACCAGCAGCGTCGCGTCGTGCGTTAACCCGTTCCATGCGGCCTTGTTGTCCAGCTCCGCATTGGAGGGCGGCACCGTGTACGTGGGCCCCGTATACAGCCACGTGTGGATGGGGTCAGCTGGCCGGCGCATTCAGTGCGCTGCGCTACAGGTCCTCATACAGCCCGCTGCCCACCTTCTCGCCATTGTACTTCTCAAACGGCTGCTTAAACGCCGACAGCGTGCTCACGTCCTTGGTGATGATGGCCACGCGGATGGTGTCGAAGAAAGAACGTGCCGTCGCGGTCCACCTCGTCAATCACCTCAAACAGCGGAAAGCGCCGCACCCGAGCGCGCACGTGGCGAGGGAGCGGATGTTGTTGTCCCGCGCCGTCGTCAGCAGCGCGCGGTACGCCGTCTTCAGGTCCGCAGCCGTCTGCGCCACCGTGCTGCCATGCCAAACTCGGGTGCAAAGTTTGGCGCAACCACGTGCAGCACGTGCTCAATGTTGGACGAGAGGGCCAGCGCACCGGACGTGGTCACGCGCGCCTCGTTGTACCGCAAGGGGGCCGCTCCTCTCGGCGTTCATGTCGCGGTCGTTGGTGATGCTTCCCTCGCGAATCTCCGCATGCAGCTGCACCGCGAGCAGCGTCTCGCTGATGGTGTGGTACTGGTATGGCTCCACCTCCCACACGGCCTGCTTCACCTTGGCCGGGAACAGCCTCTCGTACGTGGTCAGCAACATCACTTCCGACGCCGCCACCACTTCCATGCGCGGGCCTTTAAGCACGGCGTGGGCACTGAAGTTGACAGGCTGTCGCCCCTGCCAGAATCATACACACCCTTTGCTCGCTGTTGTGATGTTACTCCTGCGTGCGCGGCTTGCGCCATCGTCGCCAGCAGCAGAAGGAGCAGAAGAAGCAGTGGCAGCAGAAGCATTTGCAGTTGCCGAAGGAGCGCCCGTGCTTGCGGTATAACCGGCATCAGCACCAACGCCTTCTTGCGCAGCCGCTTCAGGTTGCTGTCCAGCAACCAGCTCCTTGGCCACGGACATGGGCACCTGGCACACGTACCACGTGGGCTGGATGTGGGCGATGGTGTGGAACGTCGACTCCGTCGTCGGGATGACCGTCTGCATTACATCGCACCAGCCAGCCACCATCCATCCACACGTTGCGCTCAGTGGGCGTGCCAATCACGTCCTGTGGCGCAATGTAGCTCACCACGTCGTCCTTGCTGCGGCACACCGTGCGGCCGGCCTTGGTCAGGTAATTGAACAGCTTGCGCTTCAGGAAGGTGAGGTCCGCCTCGGACATCTCCGGCACGTGCGACGTGTCAATGACCGGCAGGCCGAGCATGTGGCACATGTAGTCCTTGAGCGTGTCCTGCACCGCGTTGTCAAACGCCGTCAGCTGCCGCTGCATGCCCTCCACGGTCATGGGCACGCTTGAGGCGCACGCGTCCCTGTCCTCCGCGCTGGGCTTGCGCACATACACGCGGAACTTTCGGGCCAGCTCAAGCAGCTGCGAGTCCAGGAAGCGGTATTGCATGCCCGTGACGCTGATCGTCGTCTGCGACTTGATGTTGGCGCCGACGGTGCTGTTGATGTAGCTGAGCCCGCGCTCCCTGTCCTGGTCCAGGTAGTAGTACAGCGAGTACTCCAGCAGTATGGCGCCCCGCCGTCCAGGTCGCACGTGTGTATAAGCGCCTGCTGGGGTGCCACGGGTGATGCGATGGGCGGGATGCTGGTGACGGGTGGCGGCCGCACAAACTCCACATCCCGCATGGCCCCGTGTGCCGTGTCTGCGTAGGGCAGCAGGCCAAGCGTCGGGTAGCGGACCAGCTTGAAGCCGTAGTCGTTCAGCACGTGCTCCATGATCTTGTCGTCGCCCAGCACGCGGTCGCTGCGGGCAAACGGGCGGAAGGCGGGCGCGAGGAAGCTTGCAAGCAGCTTGGCCTGCGACCACACCAGCACGGCAGTGCTGCCTGTGAAGCAGATGTGGTTGCCCATGGTTACAGCCGCCAGCACATCAAGGTCCTTGGCCACGCTGCCCTTGTTGAATGCGTCGACGAGGTCCGACAGGAGGCCGCCCAACTTGGGGTCGAGCACTGCCACGTGCACGTCGTTTGGGTAGCACAGCCGCGCCACAAACTTGTGCGAGACAGAGATGGCAAACTGTATCTTGCGCACGCACGCATGCGCCGCACGCGTGTCTGTCGTCTCCAGCACAAACACGCGCTGCAGCGTGGTCTCAGAGGACGCGCCGCCGCTTTTGCTGCTCTTGCTGTCGTCGCTGCCAGCATCGCCGTCTTTCTTGTACTGATGAGGGTCGTGCACAGCATTTGGCATCGCATCAGCATCGTGTTCCTCACTACCACCTCCACCCTGCTGCTGCTGCTGTGCTCCTTGTTCTTGTTCTTGTTCAGCCATGCGCGTGTTGGCAAACGGATGGATGTGGGACAGCGTGTCCTTGAGGGACTGTGGGATGGGCACAAGCTTCGCCTTGCCGCCAAAGTTCGTCTCAAACGCCTGCACAATGTCGCGGCCTGTGGTGGGCTTGCTGCGCGGGGTGCAGGTGACAACAATGCGGTGCAGCGGTGCCTGGCGCGCCTCCAGACGACAGGCGCTCGCTGCCGTGTCAATGGGTAGTGGCAGCAGGCTCCTGAACGTCTCCTCGCTGTCGGCAACCACGTCAACGCTTGCACAGCACAGGTCCGGGAAGACCTGCAGCGACTGGACGTTGACGCCTGCGCGCTCCAGCGTCGCCTGCACGCTGCGGTTCGTGTCGGTGGGCCAGGGCATGGCGGCAGTTAGGCCTTTTGACGTCACGCTGCCTGGCTGCCTCGGTCAGATAGAACGTGGTGCGCTGTGCCTGGCCCGCAACAGGCGCCGGCGTGGTGGATGTTGGTGATGCAGGGGAGGAGCACGTGGTGCCTTTGCCCTTGCTCTTCCAGTTCTTTGCCTTTGGGTCTGGGAACACGTTGAGCTTCGTGCCCAGCACCTCTCGCTGGTCGTACAGGCGGACCATCAGCTCGGCACTCTCCCGTGACACAAACCTGTTGCAAGGGGGAGGGGGTGGTTGTTTGGCTGGTTGAGGACGTGGTTGAGGGAAGCGCACGCGTGCTCATGCAGAATGGAGTTGCAGGAGCATCTGTGCACGCATGCACATACACACACACGCACACACACACACACACACACACACACACACACACACACACACAAATGCACACATCGCCTACCTGAATATGTCTCTGACGCGGTGACTGTCCGGCTTGTACATGTGAGAGTGAAAGCCGCCGTTTGCCTTGGCGAGCGAGGGCAGCACCTCTTCAATACCCTCGGACACGGGCTCAACCCACACGGACCACAGCTCGTCCGCCATCCAAGCGGGGCAGTCCGGGTCGCGGCGGGCCGTCAGCTGCACCTGCCCAATCGGGAAATTCCAACATTACCACGTTACTACCACCCCACCCATCACCACCATCACCTCCAACCAGTCAGCAGCAGCTCACCTGACGCGGGCAACCCGCCCCTGATGTTCGTCCAGTGGCGTGATGCTGATGACGCCCTGCTGCTTGCCAAGGAGCACGCGCACCAGCTCAAGCATGCCCGTGTGGTGCACGAGCACGTCAAACGGCCCAAGCGACGCCTCATCAACCTCTCCCTCGTCGCCATGTGCCGGTGGTGGTGCTGCTGTTGTGTATGGCTCCAGTTCGCGGCCCACTGCCGGCTGCCGGGTGAATGGTTCGCACTGCTGTGCGTGGTCGTGGGTGATGATGGGTTACGAGAGGTAAGAAATGTTGAGAAGGAGAAGCATCGTGCCTTGGGGACGCTGCACCCGCCACTGGTGCCCCGTTCCCAAGAGGAAACATGAGCTTCTTTCAATCCTCTCTCTCTCTCCCATCCTTCAATCCAACATACGCACGCAAGCCCATGTGCACCTGTATCGGGGGAAAAGTCGTTGAGTGGGTCATCCGTGGTGATGCGCGCGTTGATGCTGAATCCGCAGGTGGCGATTGTGTCCTGTTCGAGCTCAATATCTTGCAGAGTCGCGCCGCCAGCAAGCATCAGCTGCGATTGCACAAGGTCAACGCCAGTCACCTGGTGGAGAGAATAAAGGAGGGAGAAGGGAGAAGGGAAAGGGAGAAGGGAGGAGATGGTGGAGGAAGTGTCAGTGAGGTGGGAGGAATGAAGCAGACGAGTACGCCACAAACGTCAAAGTGGGCAAAGTACCATCAACAGTGCTGCTTCAACAGACCACCACAGCTCACCATCTCCGTGACGGTGTGCTCGACTTGGATGCGCGGGTTCACCTTCATGAAGTTATGACTGCACCACACTATTGCGCACGTTGGGTGGTTGATGTGAGCGTTGGGGCAGGTGCGATTATGTTTGTCAACACCAAAACAGTGCATGCACGCAACGCAACACAACACCTACATCTCCACCCCAACACCCAACACCACACTGCTACACCGGCTCACCGGCCATCGGATGTGTCGACGAGGAACTCGACGGTGCCGGCGTTGCGGTGGTTGATAGGAGGGAGAGGCCAATCGCAATAGCGTCCTGAGGGCGGGAGAGGGGGGGAACGTGAGAGGGAGGGAAGTAGCAGACGTGAGAGAGAGGAGAGGAAGAGGGTTGAGTGACGATCACAGGTGAGGTGCGTTTGCTGTGACCGAATCACGCACACATGCGCGCACACACACAGACACACACACACACATGCACATGAGGCAAACCTGGCAGGGCTGTTGGCAGACATCGAAGGCGCGGGGAAAGGGCAATCTCAACCACCTGAAAACACAAATGGGATGCGCGTGCATGGGCATGAGGGTGAGGATGGATGTAGGTGATGATGAGTGTTGATCACAGCAGTGGTACGCTTCTTACAGACACACACACTCTCTCACTCACACACGCACACACACGCACCCCTTTTGTTCCTTGGCGATGCGGACAACGTTGTCGAAAGTGAGGTAGGCGGCAATGGGGGCTTTGACGGTGCACAGCATGTACGATTCATCAGCCTTGCAATGCGGCATAGATCTGCGACAAGACAGGAAGCGTTGCAGGCAGGCAAGTGAGTGAGTGTGTGTGGAGGGGGGATGCTTGGAAAGGGACGCAGGATCGAGTATGGGGAGAGAACGATCGAAAGACAGGGAGTCACACACTCGCACGCACGTACGCACCTTTGCATGAACAGTGTCATCTGCGGTCACGGTGTCTGCCTCCTTTACATATGTTCAATTCACGCCCTTCCTTTGCACTGCGTGATAAAGCCGTGGTGGGGGTACAACACAGCAAGACACCGACATCGCGTGCCGTGTGTGCCGTGTGTGCTCTGTCCTTGTCGGTTCAGTGATGAGCTGATAAAGGTAAGGAAGGCTGAGGGAAGGAAGGAGGGCTGAGAGATGGATGGATGGATGCGTTTCAACGTGCTCCTTTCCACAACATGTACACACACAACAGTGAACTTGTTCGTGGTTGGCTGGAAATCCAATGCACGATTCCCAACAATCGTCCACAACCACAACCACCCAAAACGCCACAAACAAACCAATCCAATCCTGTCTCCTCTTCTCTTGGTGCTGCACCTGTCCTGCCAACAGACACCACGAACGAGGAAGGAGGAAGGCACACTTAACTTCTGCTCCTTCTCCTGTTCTACTCTTCTTCTCCTCTCCTCTTCTCTCTTCTTCACCCACTCGGAGTACGATGAAGAGAACGATGGGGTGCCTGCAGGCACGTGGGTTGCTGGTGCTCCCCGTGCTGCTGCTGGCGGCAGTATGCTTGGTGCCGTTCATCAGCAGCGTTGCTGGAGAGGTGACGCTGGTGGAGGATGATGCGGGCGCGTTTCACATCAACACTAGCGATCCAATGAGGCAGCCTGTGTTTGTGAACGGGGTTGATGTGCACGAGACGCTCAGCATGTTGATGAGCACCGTGTCGGCGCAGCAGAGCCTCAACGCTGCACAGCAAAGTACAATCGATGCACAACAGAGCGCAATCAATGCCCAGCAGAGGGCGATTCACCGTGTCCGTGGCGAAGCGTGCGCTTCCAGCGCCAGCACGTTTGGGCAGCTGGAGTCAGCAGGAAACAAGTGGCTTGGGGGTGTGCTGGCTAACAACGGCCTGATCTACGCAGCACCACACAGCTCATCCTCCGTGCTCATCATTGATCCAAGCACGAACACCGTCGACACAACCACAATCTCCGGACTCGGAACTGACCTTCGTAAGTGGGCAGGTGCTGTGCTCGCAAACAACGGCCTCGTCTACATGCTTCCGTCAAACAGGGCGGCCGTACTCATAATCTACCCGGACACTAACACTGTTGATACCACAAGCATCACATCGCTTGGTTCCGGTGATCAAAAGTGGTACAGTAGCGTTTTTGCGAGGAATGGCCTCATTTTCGGCATTCCGTACTCTGCCACGTCTGTGTTGATCATTGATCCAGAGACAAACACGACAGACATCACCACGCTGTCCGGGCTGTCGACCCAGCTGTACAAATGGTATGGCGGTGTTCAGACCGACAACGGCCTCATCTATTGTATCCCCGTGACGGCTTCTTCTGTCCTCATCATCAACCCAGAGTCACTGACAATGGACCTTACCACCATCAGAGGTTTTGGTACGAACGGCAAGTGGTTTGGCGGCGTTCTTGCAAAAAATGGTCTCATCTACGCCATACCAGGCCGTGTTGCAACGACACTTGTCATCAACCCAGCCACCAACGCCACCAACGAGCTCGTTCTTGCAGAAGCAACCGGCTCCCCAAGGTGGATCGGTGGTGTACTCGCACCCAACGGCAACATCGTTGCCATCCCCTACTACTCGCCATCAGTGCTCATCTTCGATCCAACCACCAATGCCGCCGACACAACAACCATCAGCGACCTTGGTGGCGACAGAGAGTGGTGGAGTGGCGTCTTGGCTCAGAACGGTCTCATCTACTGCATTCCATCTTACGCTGAGTCCGTTCTCGTCATTGACCCTGGCTGTTGAGTTGACATGCCTTGTCCCTCCTCCCCCCCCCCCACGACTCAAATGCCCTTCCCTCCACCCCCACCCCTACATCCCTTTTGTTGCCCGTGATGTTCTCTTCCCTCGTTGCCTCCTGTGACACACCTTCCATGCGGTGCGAACCCGACCAGTGAAAGAACAACCACAGCACTAGTCTTTGTGTGATCTCATTGTTTCCCATTACGAAACACGTCGTGTCATCACCCCCACCATCCCGCAGTAGTTCCTCCCAACCAAACACACAACATCAACGAACACACCATCATGCTTCACCACGGCACCCGAGATCAGTGTGCTCTGCCCTCTGCTCAGCTTTCCCCAGCAGCCGCTGTTCAAGTACTTTGTTGGTGTGGAAATTGGTTGTCTGCCGCGTGCTGGATGCACATGAAGACATGAAGCAACAAGCATGACACACAAGGCGCAGCAACAACAGCATGCAAACACAGTCAAGTGTGCTCATACATCCTAACATCACACTGTTGCATTTATTCATCCATCAACTCACTTGCAACTCACAAGTAGAAGCGCCAATGCAGCGATGAACAACATAAAGGTCGAACTGGCACAACAACCAAAAGCAACAAGCAACACAGCACACAGGACAGCAAGTGCACGCAGAACGTGGCATCAAATCGGAAGCGAAGCCACAAGACACACGAAAACACACAAAGTGAACTCACGAGGAAATAGCACAGGTCGTGTCAAAGCACATGCGACAACACAAAGATGAGCACAGTAACGAACGCGCACAGTTTCAAACAAGTCTCGCAACCGATGATGACCTCGCCTGCCAGCCGACCAATTAGCAGCCGGGGTCAATGATGAGGACATTCTTCGCAAAAAACGGCACTGCATACACCAATCCATTGTCACCGATTACACCCTCAAACCACTTTCCTCCTCCCTTGAGAACCGGAACTGACGTTGTATCAGCCACGTTCGTGCTTGGGTTGATGATAAGAACCGATGAGGCAGAATATGGGATTCCGATGAGAAGGCCACTTTGAGCCAGCACCATATCTCGCCATTTGAGGTTCTTGCCTCCAACTCCAACGATTGAAGTTGTATCGAGTGAGTTTGTTGCAGGGTTGATGATGAGCACACTTGCACTGCTGTTCGGGATCGCGTAAATAAGACCACTTCGTGTGAGCACACCACCATTCCACTTTCGTTCGCCCTGAGGGAGATTTGAAATAGATGTGGTGTCAATGGTTTTGGAGTCTGGGTTGATAATGAGTACAGACTCTGCCGAGCTTGGAATGCAGTAAATGAGGCCATTATCTGCTTGAACGCCACTGTGCCACTTGCCACTGATGGTGCCTAGACCAGTCATACTCGTGTTATCGGTGGTATTTGTGGTAGGATCAATGACAGAACAGAAGGTGAGTTCCAGGGAACGCCAAACACGAGCCCGTTGTCGGCAGCAACTCCTCTGATCCACTGAGATCCAGTCGCTAGGCCACCGAGAGTTGTCGTGTCCACTGAGTTTGTGTCCGGATTGATGATCAGCACCGAGGTCGCATGGAAGGGAAAACCGTAAATGAGCCCGTTTGCAACAAGAACACCACCCGCGTGAGATTTAATGCCTGGGTATCCAGAAATCGTGGTTGTATCAGCCGTGTTGGTGCTTGGATCGATGATGAGCACTGAGGCTGCGTTGAACGGTATACCATAGATCAAGCCATTGTGGGCCAAGACTGCGCCAAACCAGGCTCCTGCACTTCCAACACCAGCGATCGTGGTCGTGTCCACCCTCGGCGGCACACCCATTGCACAAAGACGGTTTTCGAACACGTTGTTCTTGCCTCGCTCTTCTGCAAGCATCCTCGCCTGCGCTGAAACTGTACTTCGCAACGACGCAATCTCCTCGCCAACGTCCACTCCGTTGACAAACACGGGCTCTGTAAGCTCTTTGGTTGTGTCAGTGTACTGTGGTCGATGTCGTGGTCAAACAGTAAAACAAAAGAATGAACAAGACGAACGTGACACTCGCACAAAAGGGCATGAGCGGGTGCACAGAAAGAACAAGCAGGGAGAAACACGAGTACGAGAGCAAAAGCCGTAGGGGCTTTAGACAAAGGAAAACGAAAACAAAACAAAGGAGGGTTGCCACGTAGCGTGACAACAAACAAGCCAAGAGCAAAGGATACTGCTAAGAGCAATGCAACACTGCGGAGCAATGAAATTTGGGATGAGGTGGGAGAAGTGGTGAAAGACATGCGACAAGGCTCGGTCACGAAAGACGTGTGAAAAGAGTAGTAAAGAAGTGGGACAGAAAAGCACTGTCGACAGAGTCGACAAGTGCTTACACTCACCCTCCCCCTTCAACTAACCACCCTCTCTTCCTTTCAGACAAAACAGTCAACATTACAAACAACCAGCTAGCTGGGCTGGACTGGTCAAACGGCCGTGAGGAGCTCCGGGTGGTCGTTGAGGTAGTCCTGGAGCTGGTCGCAGCCTGCGACGTGCTTGGTGGGCTCCCAGGTCCTTGCATCGGGTCCGTACCCCTCCCAATCCACTAGGAACTGGAGAGTGCGGTGCTTGAAGCGATGATCGAGGATCTTGTTGACGATGAACTTGACGTGGCCGTCGTGCACGATGGGCCGCGGTCGGTGTTGGCGCCTGCTGGCGAACTTGCGTGGGTTGGGGACGAACTTCTTGAGCTTGCTGCAGTGGAATACCGGGTGACAACGGTATCTTGACGGTAGCCCAAGCCGGAAGGAATCCGGCCTGTCTTGGGACAGGACCACGAAGGGTCCCAGGTATCGGTGTCGCAGTTTCTTGCTGGGGCGTTGTCGTTCCGTGTCGCTGAGTACGGCATCCGCGAGGAGGAGCACCTTGTCTCCCACCTTGATGTCGCAGGGTCTGCGACGCTTGTTGTAGTGGAGGGTCTGCAGGTCCTGTGCCTTGGCGATGTTGTCCTTGGCTGCTTGCAGTCGCGACCGGAAGTCCTGTATAAATTGCTCGGCGCCCGCAGACCTAGCGGCCGTTGGTGAGGAGGGGGCCGCCAGATCCAGGGGCGTTAGCGGTTGTTGGCCGGTGTCCAGCTGGAAAGGAGAGAAGCCTGTAGTCGAGGAGACAGCAGCGTTGATGGCGAACTCCATGGCCGCTAGATGCGAGGGCCAGTCCCGCTGTCCGTAGTTGACTGCCGACCGCAGTGCCTCGCGCACCACCCGTATCTGCCTCTCCGTCTGCCCGTCCGTCTGCGCATGATCGGCCGATGACATGTCCAAGCTGGTCCCCGTACAGCGGAACAGCTCAGTCCAGAACGTGGAGGTGAAACGAACGTCTCTGTCCGAGACGATGTGTGCCGGCACCCCGTGTAGTCGCACGATCTCCTTGAAGAAAAGCCGCGCTGTGTCCTGGGCCGTTGCCGTCTTGGTCGTCGCAAGCAGGTGGGTGCGCTTTGAGAGCTTGTCCACGACCACCAGTATGGCGTCCAGTCCGCCGTCAGTGCTGGGCAACCCGGTGATGAAGTCCATGGATACCGTGTGCCAGTTGTGTGGCGGCACCGGCAACGGGTGAAGAAGGCCGGCCTTGGCTCTGGTGTCGTACTTGTTCCGTTGGCATTGGTCGCAGGACGCCGTATACTTGATTGCATCTTGCAGCTGGTTCGGCCAGTAAAAGCGCTGGCTGACATACAGGTGCGTTTGAGAAGCTGCTCGGTGTCCGCGGGTTGAGGCGTCGTGGGCCTCCTTCAGGATCTTGGTGCGCAGACGGTTGTCTCTGGGGACGTAAACTCGCCGTCGCTGTTGCTGGGTGAGGTAGAAGATGCCCTCTTCCTCGCTGAAACGTGGCTGCTGCAGGCGCTGGCGCTCCCGGCCTGGCATCTTCCGTGTTGCTTGGCGGATCTGCTCCAAAAGGGCGCTGGTCGGCGACGAGGTTGAGATCGTCGCGAGGTTGACGTCCATGAGGTTCCTACTGAGGGCGTCAGCCACCTGATTACGCTTGCCTGGGATGTACTGGATGTCGAGTCGTCCAAACTCCGACAGCAGCTCCATGCCATCGGGCGTGTCTCGGCTTGATGTCCTTCTGCGTCTGGAGGTACTGCAATGTATCTGTGGTCGGTGTTGATGTCAAAGTCTGCTCCGTAAAGGTAATGGCGCCACTGTCTCAAGCAATGGACAATTGCCAGTGCCTCCTGTCTCTGACGTCGTATCTCTGTTCGGCTCCTCTGTATCGTCGCGATTCGAAAGCAACCCGGACGGCCCTTCTGCATGAGGACTCCTCCTACTGCTGTCTCCGAGGCGTCGGTCTGCACGACGTATTTCTGGCTTGCGTTGGGGTAGGCTAGCACAGGTGCTGTAGTGGTTCCACTCCAGCATTCCCTACTTCCGAACCACTACTACTCCACACCACTCTTTTCATATACACAACATCAACCACTCTTGCACTGGCACCTATACTTGCACTTGCCTATTGTCTGTGTTCATTTATTCTTGCTGAATCAAGTCTACACCCCAATATACATCTCCTACACTTGGTCTACTACACTTGGTAGCGATATCCTTCGATCCCCACCTTGAGCACAGAGCAAGCACACACCAACTCAGCTGCAAACACGTACCTGTACTGCCTTTCACAATGTCACAGCGTCGTTCTTCTCCACGCCTGGCTTCGTCAGCATCGTCTGCGCCAGATGCCTCTGCGTCGTCGTCATCAGCGACGTCGTCTTCCGCCTACGCAGCGCTCACCCCAACTGTGGGTCCCTCATCTTCGTCGTCAGCGCCATCAGCTCCTGTCGACGCCGGTGTTCAATCTCTTGCTCGCTCGGCTCTCACCCGCATCACGGATCATGATCCTGCCGCGATCGTCTCCTGGTTCCAGACCTTCCGTACCTGCACTCAACTTCTTCGTCTTCCCTCTGGCCCTGACCAGATCCGCCTCGCGACCCTGTACTTTGACGGAGCTCTGCAACAGTGGGCACGCCATTACATTGAGGCAAACCCAGATGCGTCTTTTGATGAGTTCGAAACGGCAGCAACAACGCACTTTGCAGACCCAAGCAAGCAGTGGCGAGCATTCCAAGACATCGTCACTCACCGTCAACGTGGAGCTGTCACAGGCTACATCGCGTCTTTCCGCCGTTCACTCATCGATGCTTCTCCAGCAAAGCTCGTCGACCTGCAGATCGCCGCTTTCGTCGCCGGTCTTAGGAACGACGACCCTCGCCGACATCTGAACATCAAGCAGCCCAAGCACCCTGGA